CAAAAATAATCTTCATTTTTAGCATTCTTTGAAATGAGGGTAAATATTAAATCACACTTTTTTGAATTTTTGTTTATTGAGAAATATGAGGGGTAAATAAGTCTTATTATGCCACTGTAATGAATCTTTTTGGATGAAACTGTCATTAGAGAAAATGAATTAATTAATGAAAGGTTGATAATAAGAATGTGACGAAAAAAGTTGAAGACTTAAGTCTGACAATGAGAAAATGTTGAAGATCTTTTTAGTGCAATAAAAATTAGTGGAATAAAAGAAAGCTATGTTGACAATTTAATGCCCCTTAAACAATGTCTGTTTTATAATTTTCTCATCAAATATACCTTTCACTCTTCAAAAGTGTTACAAATTCTCTGTCTTTCTTTTTGCATGAGTTTTAAATAGTCTAAACACCCTCGTTAAAATAGGCAAAGTTAAGAATTTTGCATAGATTGCCCAGAGGACATTTTAATAAACAATTTAGCATTCTTCGTCAAATTTGCATAGATTGCCTAGAGGACATTTTAATAAAATAAAATACACTTATTTTGCTTGACCATATGTGATAAATATTGTCACGCGTTTTTTATAACGTGATTTATACCGCAAGTGTACGTTGTCAAGTCTTGTAATATAGTAATAGAGTGTCAAACCCACATGGATTGTAATTTAATTTTGTACTAAATATTATAATTATATAGTCTTTATTTTATCTAGACGAATGAGTTATGAATCAAATATTGTTAACTAATCTAACAATAGTTTTGGTGACGAATTCAATGAACACAAATTATATGAATTTAATAAAGATGGAAAGGTCTAGGTTAGACGAATGAGTTATGAATCAATATTATTAACTAATCTAATGATAATTTTGGTGATAAATTCAATGAATACAAATTATATGAATTTAATCAAGATATGAAAGTCCAGGGAATGATTTCACTTAACTATCAAGTATGATTCTTAAAAACTTAGTTATCTCTAATCAATTTTCCATGTTTATAAACAAAACCCCTAATGTAATTCTACCCCTTTTCTTGAGTGTCGGATACAAATTAATCCTAAAAATTAATTTCAATATCTCTATTTCGAATTAAAATCTATAAATTATCAAGTTCATGATTCTTTTATGGAGTAAACTTCATAAATACTATATTTTTTCTCGAAACCTATAAAATCTATGTTGTGTTAATCCTATGATCGTGCCTAAATTCCATTTTCTCGAGTGCCGAAATTGACTAGTATCTACTCATTCAATTAGTAGTCAATTAAATGAAAGTATTAAAATCATAACACAAATAAACGGAATGGAAAATTTCATAGAAATAACTAAAGTAAATTCAAATCATACTCTCAAGTTTTGGTTACAATCAAACCCTAGAAGAATAGTTTAGTTCATGATAA